CGTGTATCATTTTTTCCGCGGGCAGGGAGTGAATGACTTTTCCGTGAAAGCAGAGATCTGCCACTATAGAGGGGCTTTCCCGCACCGACGGTCCGACTTGACAATAGGAGCAATCCTTTGAGACGATCGAGTTCCGGAGGATACCCGTCCTCGGAGGAGGCGGTCGCCTGCACTATTTGCCGAGTAATTATACGCGAAGGAAGCTGATGTCGCGAAACGCCGCTGCGCGTACACGTCCCGGAGAAAGTGGTCGCACGTTGAGACCTACCGACCCATGTAATTTGTGTTCTCTCTCCCTCTCGTTGGTGCTCCGTGTACTTTGTGGCTTGGGCTCACGGGGAACTTTCGCTGCCGCGTCTGTCTTCTACGGGTATGGTGGGCTCTCTGGCTCTGGTCTGACGACGGTGGTGCGGGGTACGAGTATACAGTAGTTGGTACATGCCAAAAAGGGTCGGTTTGATTGTTTTGGCCAAATGAAGGAGAAAAAAAAAGGAAAATTGCCATTTCAGTGTCCAAGGGTTGATTGAAATTGAAATAGGAACACCACGAACAAACATCCAAAGAATCTAGTGTACAGCAAAAAATGTATTACTTTTCACTTTTGACAAAGACGGAACTGATGAGTGGAGGGATGACATCATTGAAAAAAAGCAACTTTTAACTCGGACCTACCCTGCCTTGGTCCCATTTTTGTTTGTTGGAAGAGAGAGAAAAAAAAAGTATGTAACTAATAAACGCTACTACTCTTCCAAAACTACACCTCCCCCATCTAAGGACGCCAGTGATCAATCCCGCGCCAACGAGGGAAAACACACGAGCTTGCGTTTCTCTTCCCCACCCCCGTGGGTCTCGAGGGCGCAGTTGGTCCAACCGCACTAATTTTCACCGAAATACGACCGCGCGCCATCCTAGGACTTTCTCCGTAACAGCTCGTTTTCCCAGTCTCGCTCTTTCACTTTTTTCAGACATAACTCAAAATCCGCCTCGACTTCAGTAGATGCAGTGCGAGTAATGGACAGACGACCTCCCGGAAGGGACGAGCTAGAGAGGGGAAAAAAAGAAGGAGCCCAACACCCGATACGCACCGGCGAGCGAGCGGTAAGAAATAACGAGGTAACCCTATACACATACACACTCCCCGTATCATCACCGCTCCTTTTTTCCGAAAATTTAAAACGTACCGCGCCCACGATGTCCTCTCCTTTTTTTCGTTTCCAACGCCTCTCCCTAATTTCCTTTCTTCCCGCGCCCTGCTTTTTGTCACGTCCAAACTCGTCTTCCCGGTGTTTTTACGCCGAAACGCGCACAAAGGGCGAAAACTCTTTTAACCCCTGGAGCGACCCCTTCCCCTGCTGCTTTTACTCTATTTTATTAAAACCCTCTCTCTCTCTCTTGTTGCTCCCTTACTTTGTTTTATTTCCTCTTTTTTTTTTTTTTTTTGCGGCACAAGAAACTTGAAAATAATTACGGGAACGCGCGCGAGTGTAACGAGTACGCGTTTCCCGGAGAAGCGCCCGTACACGCACCCCGTCGAAACGCTGAATCTCGGCCGAGCTTGCAACGGCGTCATCCACTTGGCGGAAATTCACGGGCCTTCCCCAGCCAAATTTCGTTTGCATTCGTGCGAGCACGCGCGCACTTCGACAATAGCAATCCTCTTCACGTGCCCTCTTTTTTTTTCTTTTTTTCTTTTTTTTTTTTGCGCACGGCGCGAGTGAAGTAAACGTCCATTTTCGGTTGCTGAGCGTCTGCAAGCTCGAGGCAGAGGGAGGTTTTTCCTCCCGTTACCAAATGCGCGTATAAGGTACCTCACAAAAATTTTCTCTCGCTTGGCGCTGCAACGAGTCTTTCTTGAGACCTTTGCGGTGGTTCCCCCCCCCCCCCTTTGCCCGAAGCGAGTACGTTATTCGCCCAAGCTTGGTTTACTAATGAGGATGTGAGCGGTAAAGCTCGGCCAAGACATGTGAAGGGCTGTTTTGCGCATGAAATCATTCGCAAATGTATGCACACTGAGATTTAATAAACTCGCGAAATGATTTTGAAATTTGAGTATGTGGTGGGTGAATAAATCTGGGGGGGATTTTATTTGCAAAAGGGAGACCCGTACACGAAAAAGTACGTACTTGCGAACTAGAAGGAAGGATGGGCAACTGTTTTCATACTTTATATGGTTTTAGGCAAAAAAAAAAAAAAAAAAACTTGTATTTAAGCATTGTAAGGTTCTTTTGTGGATACCTACGTATATATGTATATGATATGTTAGTAGTGTTATTCTTATGGACATAAAAAAAAAGTTAAGATGTTGATGGAAATTTATTTGTTGAAACTTAAACATAATATGAGTAATCTTCCCCAAACTTGACAGAATCACGCGTTATGTGCAGAAAAAGTTTTATTAATTCCTCAATACTTTCAAGATATCCGTAGAACAACTTTCAAGGCATCTCTCATTCCGAGAAAATGCCAAAGAGGAAAAAAACCATTGGCTGTTGCGGTGCGATCGAAATGTTGGATGACCCTACGAATTGCTGAAATTCACGTGAATAAGGCGCTTCCCCTTTGCCTTGTAGTTGCACAAACAATTGGATAAAATTTGAGTTGTAGTTAAAAACAACAAGCAGTAGCGAGCGACGAAAGAAATCGCGCGTCAAAGGAAAAACCCGTGCACACATCCGCGTTATCAAAGAGTTTGACGTGTCTCCGACCCCGTTCTGGCCTCTGTTTCGGAATCGGCACGGGCTCGCACTTTCCATCCGAGATTTATACACGCGGGAGCGTCGCGCTCGGCTATAAACCATCTCGCTCTGGTATCTGTTTGCGAAAAAAAAGAGAGAGAAAAAAAAAATACATTGACCCTCACGCATACAAAGAGTACGTATACCTGTGCACACATACGCGTAGGAATCGGTGGAGCAGCACGAGCGCATACGTATGGGGAAAGACGAAGGCTGAAAGTTTGGCGCGTTGGAGATGGTAATAGGAAGATCGGCCGGGGGATACGAGCGATAGTCGGGCCGGAAATAGAGGCTCGCTCCCCTGCTCGCAAGATGTACGGCCGCGTCGCTTGGCTCGTGCCCCCCTCGTCCTCTCTCTCTTGTGTTCGTTGGTGTCTTTTTTTTCCCCGTAGCAAGGCCCTTTGGTTTTTTAATCGGAGCATGGGAATGTGGGTCACGGGTAAAAAGAGTCGGCAGAGATTTTTTTTCACCCCCCCCATTCTCCAAGGGTGTGCGATCAGACGTGACGTGTGCGTCTCTTTTGTCGGATGGAGTTTGGGCTTTTCCAACCTTATGTTTATGTGTTATGTAAATGCTACACTGATACATTTCAGTTATTACGACATATTGTTTTGAGCCGTCACTCGAAAGGGAAAAATACGTGTCGAAGCGCAACATCGGTTATCCTATGGCAAGTGATCCAGTCTCGCTAAATTGAAGATATTTGAAAATGTATACATTTGTTCTTCTTCTTCGAGAATCAATTGGCGCAAAAGGGCACCCTACGCGAAGATCGAGTGCAGAGATAAGGGTAGTTTCTAGAAAGAGCTTTTTTCAAAGCAATAGCACCGGTTCTTTTCAATGGAGCAACAATACGCTTTTGCTCTTTCAAAGGGGCCCTAGATTTTTACTTTTTTCACGCGCCAGAGCGTAAAACGCCGGAAACTCAATGCTTGCAAGCTCGTCGAATTTTTTGGCTCGATGTTCAAGCTTCCTCGAGCGCGAACGTGCAAGAATTCAAGTAATTTTTAAAAAATTCAAAAAACAAAGCGAGTCGTAAGAGACAATCACTCAAACCAGCAATTTTATATACGCTGCAGCGTTTGCGCCAATCGTTCCCCCGATACTATCGACCCATCGTAAAATATCAAAACAAGAAGAAAAAAACACAAAGGGTAGCCGCGAGTGGCAAATTATCGCAATTACCCGCGAGCTCAAATCGATGAAAAAAAAAAAACACACACACACAGTGTAACCTCCGAGTTGCGGGGAGTATGGACGAAAAATAGCTCTCCTGGTAATGAAAAATTTACGACGGAGAGCCCATCGCATCGCAGGGGGGGGGGGGTTTAAAGCTCGCGCGTTACACGCCGAAGGCATAAATATAAATCACACGGGCGATAAGACGCAGGGGGGGAGGAGAGTTGCGTGCCATACGCGTCTCGCACGAAATTTTTCCTGATCAAGTTGGGAAAACACAGAAAAAAATAAAAATGAAAAAAAATAGAAAAAGAAAATAAATGGGCACCGTGAATACAAGGCGGTTGTGTTTGCTTAGCCTCCCCTTCCCAAACCTCATTTCCCAAAGGGTGTGTGCATCGATACCCCATTACCGAGGGATTAAAGTTGATTTACTGCGGACGCGCTCTTTTACAAGCAACGCGGTGCATCGCTCGCTCGAGGCGGGAAGGAGGGAGGGTTGGATAATTCACGGCACGCGCGGCTCGGACGGATCGCAGCCGTTAGCGCCGCTGATGTTGGCTACAAATTTTCCCCCCTTTTCCAGAAGGGGAGGGGAATTACTTCTGCGCTTCCGAGGTGCGTTTTCGAAGCTGGGCGAGGATGTATACCCTCTCTTCCCCACTTGAGTCGCGACTCCGTCAAAGTTTCTGGACAGTCGAGGAAAATTAGAAAATCGTGCTTTCCTCGTTATCGGACGCGACTTTCACGGACGAGGATAGACCGGATTGCATTTGCACGTTGCAGCTGATAAAATCGAGACACTTTTATAATCGTAGCAGCGCCGAGGTACCATGGAAAATGGAGTTTCAAATCAAGTCAGAGTCAGATTGATATTATTTAGTGCTGCGAAAGCAGTATAGTATTATTTGCCCCTGCGAGCCCGACCAACTTGTTCAGGATTGTTTGTCCGGGTTGAATGTCAATGTGGCCCTCGCCCACGTTTCCTCGTGCCAAGATTCAACAAGTGGGGGGTGGTCGCGAATGAAATCCCACGGACCTCCCCAACTAATAACCCAAAATATATAACGATTTCGAAATTCTCACCATGGTGTCCTTGGCGCGGTCGACCGGCTGGAGCAGTACAGCGGCCGTGGTGGCACTAGCCCCAATGGCCCCTGCCGTAGCTCGGTGGTGATGCTGCTGCTGCTGGTGGTGATGGTGGTGGTAAGCCAACTGGTGGACCAACTGTTGCTGGTGGTGGTGGTGGGACGGGGTAGCAGTAGCAGCAGCCGCAGACACAATACTCGCCGTGCAACTGCAGGCACAGCTACACGCCAAACTGCAGGCCTGCTGTTGCTGGTGGTGGTGGTGGTGGTGGTGGTGTTGTTGGGAGGCCGCGGCCAAGGCGAGCTGACCGGCAAACGCCACCTGCTGTTGCTGTTGGTGGTGTTGGTGGGTTTGTAGGTGGTGTTGTTGTTGGTGATGGCCGAGGTGGTGGAGGGCAGAGGTGGCCGGTTGCAGGGAGGCGGCTAGAGCGGCGGCGGCGGCGGCGGCAGCTGCGGTGCCCGGCTGGTGGTGGTGGTGGTGGCTGGCGGCTAGGGCCTGCACTGCTCCCCCGGGGCCTACACCGGCGGCCGGCACGAACGAGTACGAGTGAAAATACGTGGTGGCGCCTACCCCAGCTGCGCCGGCGGCCCGGGTGGCGGCCTCGACACCGAGCAGGGCCGCTGTTGCTGCTTCTGCCGCTACACCTCCTCCACCTCCTCCTCCTCCTCCTCCTCCTCCTGTGCTTGTGGTTGGGCTACCAGAACCGGTGGCACTGCTGTTGCCGCTGCTGTTGCTCGTGCCGTTGCTACCGTCGCCGTACCCTTGGACCGCGAGTTTATCGTACAACTCTAGCTGCTGCTGCTGCTGCTGCTGGTACAGGTGGTACTGTTGGGTGTTCCAGTGGAAGCACAGGCCGCCGTTGTCAGCGAACGATGTCTCGCCGGACCACCACAGCTTGACCCGAGCGCCTATGGCTCCCTCGAGTTCCTCGCTCCTTTGGCCTCCGATCGGCGCGCTTACCTTGCGCTGGCGTCTTTGGCCTTCATCGACCCTCCACCTTCTCCTTCTTTTTCTTCTTCTTCTCGTTTAATTGAAACGGCGTAGGTCAACAAGTGCGCGGTGGGCGCTCGCGTGAAAGGCCGGCCGGCCGCGAAGAGTAAAAAAAAAAAAAAGGATACTGGAAGGACGAGAGAGGGAGAGACTGTTGTCCTCCACGAGATGCAGTCGCTTTCTCTTGCTTGTTTCTTCTTCTTCTTCTTTCCACTCGATATGTGTGTATATATAAATATATATTCACGGTAATGTCTACGTATGTGCTAGTATGATTGTCACACGACGAGGAGACACTTTATGATTGTGCTGAATACGCTTGGAAGGTTCACTTTGCCTTACATATATAAGTACTGTATATTGTATACGTATGGAATCTATGGGTACATGTACATTTACGTTGTGTAATATATGTATGTATATAGTTAAAAATCGACGCGTTTTACGATTGTCTTCTTATTATTCTTCTTATTTTTATTCTATTGTTGTTTTGTACGAATGAATAACACACGACGACGATATTTACATTTATGTGTAACACAGCATTAGAGTTAATGAGACTACTTATCATCGGTGCACGCAAAGACGCAGAGCTTGCGAGTTGCTTTTTTTTTTTTTTAACTTTTTGCTAAAGATCGCACCCTCCTACGCGTGGATCTGTGATTGTCGTTTGACGTTGATTTTTTTTACTTGTTTTTTTTTTTTTCTTCGCACAATCTTCGGCGCACACCCGCTAGACTCGATTGTCACGAAAGCGCTTCTCCGTGTACTTCCCGCTTGCAGTACTCGACTACGACAACACGTCTCATCAAACTCGAGGACGACTTTTTTTCCTCCGTCTCAGAGGTTCCTTGCCATTACCACTCGTGGTTAGTCAGCACCAAGGGCGAAAAGTGCACGGGACGAGGTTTCCAAAAGTAGTCTAACGGCGACTGGATGGATCCACGCGAGACTTTGTATCTATGAGTAGACACAGCCAAGCTTTTACATCGGTGGTTCTGCCCGCGCGAGCACGTGCGATTATCGTATACGAGAGGAACACCCGTGTCTCGTAAGCAGGGACGCGCGCGCTCGCTCGACGAAGCGGTTCGAGGAGGAAGAAAAGACGGGAAGATCGAGAGCAGAGAGAGCAGAGAGAGCAGAGAGAGAGAGAGAGAGAGAGGGGATGGAAATGCGGCAGGGAAGAGACGAGGAGGCGAGAAGAGAGCGGTGAGTGCCGAGAGGTGGAACGGAGGCGCCGGTGGAGAGGAAGAGCGTCCTGCTCGATCGCCTAGCTTGACACAACTGGCCGCGCTCGGCGCTCCGGCTCCACGCAACATCTCTCTCTTTGGCTCCGCGATGGTTGGCGCGCGCGCGCGCTCTCTCGCGTACACATATACATACGCAAGTGTACGGGTGTTTGTGTGGGTAGTCGACGGCGCGCGCGTACCTCCCTTTGAAAGGCCGCGGTGCGTGCGCGGCTGCCGCCTCCTCCACCTCCCTCTTCCTGGCCCCACTACTTGATACTTATTCACCGCGAGCCAATCGCAGGGGAGGAGTGAATCTTCTTCTCTATCTGTATCCGCATACCTGTGTGTCTACCTGCATGTGGGGCGAGTTTGCGCGAGGATGCGTGGGTTGCACGACAGTGGCTGGAAGAGGGAATGTGGAGCACCACCTTACGTGCGTCTAATAAAACAACAAACAAATTCTGTTTTCCTGACCAGGGTTGGGAGGCTGGTTTTTGGATCGCACATTGGGTACCGGTGTTTTCGGACATTCGTCGATCATGACTCAAGCATCGGGCTCTTTCGTTCATATCTACCCCATCGGTTTGAAAAACCCCTACTTGGGGATGTTGGGGCGTTTCTGTAAATTTTTCGAAAAAATTCGTACTTGAAATTAATAAAAAAATAAGGATGACAAACAGTTTTTACAACGACACGGGCTTTCTTGTGCTCTGTGTGATGTTGTTTACAAGAAATTTCATTTCAATTGTTTCCTCAACTACTTGCACCTGTAGGTTAAAAATCCAACACTTTGTGTGTCTAGGGTTAATTGTACACTACTAGCTGTTCCGCGTAATTTAAAAGCGTCAAAATCTGTATGGACGTATTACCTAAACGGAGGGTTTCAGTTAAAAACGATTTTTGTGCATAGAAAAACACGCATAAAACGAAAAAAAATGAAAAAGGTTCGACATGCAACAATAAATTGCCTTGTTTTAAAAATACTCGGTGTATTGAAATACGATGGTTTTTGCGCAAAGCAGCCCCATCGAACGGAATTTCAGAGCAAAGAGTCGCAGCGGAATTTCATTCGCGTTGGAGGATCGGGCGATCGTCGATTGCCTGCAATTCGCAAAATCAACGGTGAGATGACCATCAATACTCGGTACTCGCGAATTTAACTCTGGCACTGCTTTGGCAACCGTCGGAAATACCGACCATATCGAACATCCCCCCCAGAGATCGGAGCACAAAATTATTCGAGTATCAACAATTGATGAGTACAGACGGGGTCAGGCTCACCGTCACGTCTTTCCTATCCCCCTATATACATAATTCTCTAGCCTATACTCCTTGTTTCTCCTCTTGGCAATTTATCCTAAATTTTTTCCGCCCACCTTTCAGATTCTGTCTACATTTTTTTCGATCCGTGAAAGTAAATGATTTTCCTTCCGTAGTTTGCTCTCAGGATTATTATTTTCGTGCTCGTGGGTAGAAAATGAAGCGCTTTTCAGTGAAAAATACCCATTTGCCCGTGACAAACATTTGCGGGGGAGTAGGCGTGACTTTTTTAATTTTGTTGCTCTAAAACGAACGATATTCCGATACTTGCACGTACGTCTTTGTCCTGAACCCGAGCCATGAGAAGCACACAAATTCATCAGCGCGAGCAAACGGTGGATTGGAGGAGGGGGTAAAAAATTGGGAAAAAATGAAACCGAAAGGGGGGCACGTAACTTCCGAGAGACAAATAGCGAGCGTCGGTCTTTGGGGTGGTAAGATTGCGCGGCTGGGAGCTTCCGGCATTACGCGGCTCCGGTGATTTTCCGGGACACGCGCGCCGGCTCTTTTTCATCGGCCTATCTCGACGGCACTTGCGAGCGCGACTTCATTTCAACTGCTGAGGTGCTCTTTAGCGCGCGCGGGGGAGACACTTTGCGACGTGGCCGCGTGAGACAAATTTTGCTCTCGATGGCCTGTCAGCTCCCGTGCTCGCGGATTCATTTTGGCTTTTTGGAGGCTTTCTTTTGTCAGATTCATCTTTTTCTTTATTTTTTCAATTTAATCATCGCAGTGATGATATTTTGAGATTTTTTCAATTAAATCCTAGGAGCTGCGTTTGATTTCTTACGAGCAACAAACTACGTCATTTTTAAGTATTCAGTTGTATCTCTTTCTAAAGTTCACTTTGATGTGTAAAGTTATTGTCAATCACGACACAAAACTAATTACTTATTCGTTGCATTATATTTCTTGTTTGACCAGTAACAATATGTATCTCATCAAAATTAAAAAGAAAAAAAAACCAAGATGTTATTCCTCGTGGTGACAAAGTTTATTTTTATATTTTTAACTATTTTAATATTAATAAAAATTATAAAAAAAAAGGGTGATAAGCCATGGGTAAACCTTTTCCCAGGTACATTTTAAAGGTCATACTTTAGTCGTCACAGCCCGTTGAACCTGCTGTTTAAACAGCGGGTTATCCACGTGAGTCATTTTCTCACGTAGTCCTGAAGTTGTTAAAATTATACCAGTAACCCGGATAAGTTGCAACAATAGTTGAAAACAAGTTCGTAAATGTGCGTCCGAGCCGAGAGACATTTTTCATACGACCAGGGTGTGAGCCAAAGTGATTTCCGAGCAATTATCGTCAGGTGCTGTCAAACACTTGGGTACCACCTGCGTTTTGATAAACCACCAATCGCAAGACGGATGGACGGCCAGTGCCAAAGGTGTCAATGTAATAAAATTACAGGTGACGCCAAGTCACACGGTAACCACCCCCGGGGACGATCATTAATTAGGGGTAGAAAGTCCACCGCGAGCCGGTGGGAAAAGTTTTACCACCACCTGATTAACGAGCAACGAGTCCTCCACTGATCCTAAAGGAATCCACCTTCCGGTCGATGGGTTCGGAAGTGTAGCTTTTGCCGTGACTTACCTTGAACGAGCCAGCTGCCTGGGTGCTCATCGTGCTCGGCATTTCGCGACTACGAAGCCCGTGGGGTCTGATTTTTTTTTTTGCTTACCTGCAACAGAAAAGAAAAGAGGTTTTTTAAAAATTTTTTGTTTGTTTACCATTGTAAAAGTTGACGCGTGTACGCGTCTCGTGACGCAACCCGAGCACATTCACCGCGACATCACAGAGTTTGAAAACGCGTCGCGTGGAAAACTCTCGCGCACATCCCGGGCAATGGAGCGGTGGTGGATGCCACAATCATTGTACTTTGGGACGCGTTGAAATATAATACACATGTTTCGCATAATTACACAACTACGTTGTTTTGTAATTGTATCGCGGATCCCCGGGACTGTTGTACGTAGTTTTAGGGACACAGCTGGCGTTGCGCAACACCGTTGTACCGGTAAAACAACGCAGGACAGGGGGGGAGAATAAACTTTTA